TGATTGGCTGTTCAAAATTAGAATTGTAAACATGCAAAACTATGTAGTCGAATGTAGGCGTGGTCGTAGACGTTTGTGGGAGTGGTCGATATACGAATTTTTGATGCGATTCCACAGTTCGGTGATTTTCGTAATATATGTCATATGCATGGTAGCTACATTGTTGTTATACTGTCAATTATAATTCGTGCAGTCATATATATACATGATATATACTAGGCCCTGCAGCAATGGCGGTAAAACTAACTGAGAGGTTATAGAGGCTATACATATATAGACATCTATTCAAGATTTCACTTGAATCTTGACTGTTTTCTATACCACTATATAAATAACAAATGAAAGCGATAAAATTAATGAACGACGTTTCGAAGCCACCATTTTATTATCGCTTATTTGTTTCAAATCGATTACAAAATGTTTTTCGTTAAATAAGAATTTTATAAATACGCACTGATAACCAAATCGAATCCAGTTCATTTTCCTGCATGTAGCCTCGTAGGCCTAGTCTACATGAGTGTATATATATATGTAATCTAAATTTTACTTTTAAAGAATGTCATATGCCAGACAATCTTTGCTGCAACTTGCAACGCAATTAGTCAGCTATATAGGCCAATGATATCTAAGACGTAGTCGCCTAGTCGCGAGGAAATTCTGAGTATATATGATCCACAGTTCACTCAGCGACATTTTTGACATCCTACTTTTCTGCCATTTTCCATCCTTCAAGAGTATGTCATGTACGGACAATGTCGGCAAAGAATGTGGGCGGCATTCATGCTCACGATTTCCCTGCGACTACTTTTTAGATAGCACTGATGCATGCTCTGTGTCAGAAATTGCAAGTTCCAGCAAAAAATGGCCTCGTGCAACCATCATTGCGTGCAACATGTCTTCAAGTCTTAATTCTTATCATGTAAGATGTGGCATGATTTTTAGATAACTCGACGTCTGTAAATAAGCTTACTGTCGTTCCAATTAAAGTGTTGCTCAAATATTGATTCAATACATTACCTCGGGCTGACCAATTCATTTCATCAAGTTCCTCGAAATATTCATACACTTCCTAGTATAATTGTAAACTTCCTGTTGAATAGTTTGAATGCACCAATCACCTTCGTTGTTTGTGCAACTAACCAATCATAAATAGAAAGGAAGTGACCAGAAATGATCAAATACTTGGAATTGGCTCTTTCACAGGAAGTGTATGAATATCTCGAGGAATTTGATCAAATGAATTGGTCAGCCCGAGGTAATGTATTGAATCAATATTTGGGCAACACTTCAATTGGAACGACAGTAACTTCATTGATTATCATGTACTCCTTTGAAGTCTCAAGTATATACTTTTTTATTATTATTCGACATTTGGGGGGGGGGGGGCTGATCTTTATTTAAGCCGGTGGTATGACCCTCATCTTTGAGGGAAAATTGATAACAAACTACGCGGTATTAAACTAGTCTTACTCATTTTAATTAAAGGACATTGGGCAGTAAAAGTTGAAATTGTTTTCATTTCAAAGAACATTTGAAATTATGTATTAAATTTTATTGCAGATATTTCATATCAAACGTAACTATTGTAATATTTTCACTGAGAACAACGAGAATCGAGTGTCCGCCATTTTGAATTAATTCTTAACCTTATTATTCCATTAACTACGATTTGGATGACGTTAAATGTGTTATGTAATATTAGAATAATTACATAGGTGATTATTGAAAATTCTCCACGCTAATTGGTTGCCGTTGAGGTGATTATTACGCGATAATCACCTAAGCGATTTTCAAACTGGCGGCCGAAGCCTTTTTCTCAATTAAATGACAAAGAAATGTGTATTTTCTTATTTTTTTTCCAAATAATCACCTATGAAATTATACTAAAACAATTATTCACCTCAGGCTCGGTGATTATCGTGAATAAAAACCTCGACTTCGTCTCGGTTAATGTGGCCCCCTCCTAATGGCCAAAAATCCTAGGATAGTGAATAGTGAATTTTTTTTAGGCACGGAGGCCTGTCATCGAAAATAAGATGACCTTCCCAGGCGCCGTGACATTTGAATTATTTACAATATTTACAAGGAAAGTAAAAGTGGGGGGACTTAGCCACCCCAGAAAATTTTGTTTTTTTCTGGAAAAATTTTGATAATTAAGGAAAAATGTAATGTATTTTTTGAAAATTTAGGTATAAAGGGAAAAATTTGCAATATTTTGTTTAAAAATTGTGTATGTCCGGAAAAATTCTTTGTCATAGGTCCGGAAAAAATTTTTTCATCCCTTTTCTTGTATATGTCCGGAAAATTTTTTGTACCCCTAAAATGGTACACTGACCGAAATTTTTTTGGCGACGGGGAGGGGGGGGAGGTCACGGAAAAAAAATTTAACCCCCCCTCCAAAATGAAATCTGTTCCGCCGCCACTGGGCTTTAGTCAAGTGGAATAAAATAAGAAGGCTTTATCCCA